CATTATTTTCTATCTACGTGACTTTACCGAAAGAACCAAATAATTGTGATATTATTTCCAAATTGACTCTTTCGCGCTAAGCTGTGGAGGACGGTGTGGATGTGATGGGGACACATTCATCAGACCTGCTGCTGCTGCTGCTGATGCTGCTGCTGCTGGCACTGCCCATTGCGAGCTGTATCTGTGTTTCTCTCACCTGTAAATTCATTTTCACCGTCTCACCTCAATTTGTTAATTTTAATGAATCATCCCGTGCGATGCGCGGGCACGATTAACACGGTTGGCTACTACGCTGCACACATACATACTACCACCATCCATCGTTATCGTACACATTTTTGTTTAAATCAAAACGTCACACTCCGCCAATGTTCCTTATGAATGGGACATCCCTCCTTTTTTTCTGCTCCCCACACAGTCTGGAACTTCCTCTCATAAGATGTATAACATCACAGACTCCTCCTTGTTCAAGCCTAAACTCCAACATTATTGCCGCAGTTGTTCAAGATGGCCATGGCCGACTACTGATCCAACAAAGCCAGGAATAAAGTGGATCCAGATTGCGGTGTGAGCTATTTTCAAACTAAACAATGATTGTTTTTTTATTTGACCAAGTAAGGCGCACTGGGCTATGAAGCTCTCTTTCAGAAGCGACCAGGCCACCGGTGACAGCTCAACGAAGTGGCTTCTCACGTGGAAATGGAGAGCAGACAAAGAACTCGAAACGCACGTTTCTAAATGTGGAGGGGAAAACTGTAGGACCCGGAGAAAAATCCACGCGACCACGGGGAGAACATATAAACTCCAAATATAAAGGCGTCTGGGTTGGGATCGAACCCACGACCCCCTGTATGCCAGGCGAGGGAGTTAACATCTCGCTACCGCGGTACCCCCAATGAGTGCACAGAAGAAAAAAAAGACGAATGTTTTGGCGTTTTCATACTCCGTGTGCTCTTCACATTTTTGTTCTAAAGCACCGGTGAGACAAAGCCATCAAGGAGGTTGTCTCTGGTGTAGGCCAATCAGGTCCAAGGACAATGCATACATCATCGCAGCATATTTGTTTGCATGTTTTACCACAAGCATGTGTGGTTAATGCAGACTTGATGATGCCTTGTTATCTGTGTGTCTATTTGATGTTTAAACTGTCAACCAACACCTCCTGTATTATTGCCAGAAAGGGGTAAATCCTTTTTATTTATTTTTTCATATCAACGTAATACTGACAAAAGGGGCCCCATAAAAATACGCGTTGTTAAAATGTGTTTTTTTTTCACAGTTGAAACCAGCTCCGAGGGCTAAAATTATTGAAATATATTTCGGCAGCGTTGTGCTCTGTTGCATTCAGTTGCAACGCGTTTAACCGTTTCCCGTTCTGATAATGTGCACGTCATTGTAACGAGAATGGAAGACATTTTTTAATTAAATAACTTTTATCGGTACCGAGGATCCTACAATGCCATGCGGGAGGGCGTGTGGCACAGTTTGGCGCCAGCTATTATAGAGTGCGGTCGTGTTGCTACAGTTCTCTGCGGTGAGTACAATGTCTTTAAAAACAACGGCGCTATGCCTCTCTAAATACAGTTAACGCTGAACCGCTTGCGTGTTCCTATATTCAGCGGTGAACGGGACCCACCCTGAAACTTGCCGTGGTCTCGGAACTGCAAAGGGTTAAAATCGGGTAATTTCTCGCGATTGATGGAGGTGCAACCTCGTGGGATCCGATTGCACCAACATTGCTGAAGTGTTTCCCAGCCCCAATAGTCCACGAGCCCACACCACACATTTCACTTGGTCGGTCCCACCTGACGTGGCGTAACTTCAGTGGTTCCAATTTCACAATGCAGCCAACAACAGTGAATTAAGTGCTAATCATGTGAAGTGAGAGGATTAATCAAGTAATTCACTAATTAGCCATAAAATAAATGAGTACTGCTAAGGTTTAGCTACCTCAGGTGGTACCAGTTCCTGCCCTGGCCCATGGGCTAGGAACAACAGAATACATGACCCAAGTTGGCCTGCACCCCTGCTTTTCATTCACCACAATTTATTTCAATGTAATTCTTAAAATCAAATAGTTAACACAATTACTGTTTATAAATTATGATGATGAAGCTGGAGTCACATGAATGTTCACCAGAGGAAGCTGGTTCTCTTCTGGGGCTCAACACCTCACCTTGTTGGCTTGATAATAGAACGTGAAAACAAAAATCTGTCAGAAAACTAAATCCTGGCAGAGCCAGGATTTTCAGGGAGAGGGGGAATGAAAAATGATACGAGTTGTGTTAGTAAGTAAGGACTTGTCCCTTGCTCTCTATTCGACGCGTGTGCGGCGATGGCGCAGCCATCGATCGAGGGTCGAATTCGAACCGCGTTGTGTGATCGGCATCGCGCTCGCTGAAGGTGAATGCCTTCAGGGAAGTCGTGTCCTGTATACGCAACTGCGCACAATTCTATGAGTCACTTATAACCGCTTTGCCTCAGCAGGTGACTCAGCAATTCCGCCACGCTGTCCGACTCCTCCACAATGTCGAGTCGAACCTCCCTCTGCCACGTGGAGGGAAATCATCTCCACGTGGTACCTGTCATGTGCGTATATGAACAGGCATTGCAGTCCCTTTTCGCTGCGTGCGTACCGAATTTTAAAAATTGCGCGAAAAATTCGCTTTTTTTTTCTTCAAAGAACGCATTTGCGAAACGTTCAACTTAGAAGGAAAAAAGTTCCCTCGTGAATCGGCAACGTATATGCGATGCAACGCACAATGCGGCAAACTTATATCAGTAGATTCCTGTCTACCCCTTTGCCCTACCAGTAGCTACATCCCATGAGTAGCTATGCCCGTCGTTCAAAACCCACCGTGTTCTTCTTGCCGTTGTTGTATGACAGTCAATTTAACACCCGCGCACTTTGAAGACGCCTCTCATCATGAACAGTTGGAAGGGAAGCCACTGCGTCGCACTACCTTACCCAGCGTGACGGTCCCAAAGCGCAAATCCTAAATGCGACCATCACCCATGACACAACTACGCGGATTGTATCTATCTGTAGGTATGAATTTGGTCATCCTGTATATTAATCAGTGGTCTACATTTGCAAGGCGAGCGGACTAACCTACATCTCCTTCCATCTGTATGGGGATCGAGCGTTCCCCCTTGCTCACGAGGGGCGATCCGCTCTCCTCCCACTTTGACGAGGTGGTCCAAATGTCTTGCGACTCACAAATTAATTGACCATGAACATATTTTTCCTATGCATATTCAATTTCTGTTTAAAATAAACGTTACTTTAAAGAAAATAAAAGATACGTATTAGAGGATTAAATGGGGTGTTCGCAAGACATTTGGACCATCCTGTAGTATAAACACTCATCATTAATTGGCTGACAACATCTTTAAAATAAAAAGAAAACCCAACGCATGACCCTTTTTTCAAAGAGTCCGACGAGCCGGTGAAGCTTTCGTGTAATCGCAGTAACTATTATTGGAACAACATGCACGTCTATTGATACGTTTCAATCGACGTGCTCGATCGCAATCACATCAGACACTCGTGAATGAATTCCATAAGAGGCCCATTCCACTCACGCACGCAGCCGCCACTCGGTGCAGAGCGCGTGGAGCCGCGCTGCACTGAGCGGAGCTGCGATCTGCACTAAGTGGAGCTTCCCTGCACACGTGAAGCTTCCCTGCACTATACGGAGCCTCGCTGTACTGAGTGGAGCTTCCCTGCACTGAGCGGAGAGCCTCGCTGCACTGAGCGGCCACTGTGTTCCGCCACGACGACTCGGCTACTTTACTAAACACACACTCCCTCTCTGTCTCTCTCCGGTATCATCCGGTCTCAAGCGCTCCTTCGTAGAGAGGTCGTTCCAAGCGACCAGACGGTCACTTCGATGGAGGTCTCACTTAAGCCAAGTGCACCAGAATTGCAACGATAAACAACCCACGTCGCATATTCATTGCGTTGGCTCGTTATGCACGGTAACAGCTTCCTTTAACAATGTCAACTAAGCGCAATGGAATAGTGTAATCTGGATATCTGTTCAGCAGTTCCGTGTAAGAGGAAACGCAGGGCGCTTTACAGACATCAGCAAGTGAATCTATATGCGGTTCGCCCGACATCCAAGGTGCTCATTCATACGCCTAATTAAAAACTGTACATCATTAACAGGAACCCGATATGCGAACTGCCCAGAGGGCGCAACTTCTGGATACACAAGCCCTGCAGGTGTGTCTATGTATGTTTATGTAGGGGTGTTTATGTGCCCCCTGTAACGATTACGGATTCGGGTGGAAAAACAAGCTTAATAAAAAAATCTGCACATCAGAAAACATTATTTTACGTACGGTGCTGTCATTGTCAGTCGTTGGGAACATTGGTGCGTGGATGAATGGGTGAGTTGAGTTGGTGAGGGTTGAGAGATCGGCTGAGGTTGCGTTTCGAGAGTCGCATTTGTAGCGTGAGCGAGTGGAGTTGACGAGTCGCGAAGTGAATTGGTCAGGGCGAGTCAACCCGGAGAAGATATTTGGGAGTGAATGGACGGTGGGCGAGTTACGTGCAGGGCGCGCTACCCCGAACGAGTTTGCGAGTGAACGCAGTCGTAGTCACGGCTCGTCGTAGTGCTCACGGCTCGTCGTAGTGCTCACGGCTCTAGTGGTCACAGCTCTAGTGGTGGTCACAGCTCGTCGTAGTGCTCACGGCTCTAGTGGTCACAGCTCTAGTGGTGGTCACGGCTCTAGTGGTCACGGTGGCGGACGGAGCGTGAGTGGCGAGGCGCTAAGCGCTACTGCTGCGTGGCCGGGCGGAACAATGCGCTCCTGAGCGAGTTGGGGCGCAGCGTTCGAGTCACCACCGCAGCGGCGTCGTCGTCGTTGCGTTTGTGAGCGAGCGGAGCAGCGCGAGTCACGCCGCGGCACGGTGGATGTATGGGGGTGTGCCGGGGGGAGGTGGCGGGGGTGGTGGAGGAGTGGGAGTGCAACAGGCGGAGCAGCTCACTCACACGAGTGCGTGATAGGAGAACGCCCAGCCGCGCGGCCGCTCCAGCACGTTGTAGAGGGCGTTCTGCAGGCGCCGGTACCGCGCGTGGCGCTGCGCGGCCCGCCGGTAGCGCCACGCGCGGCCCGGCACCACGGGCACCGGCACCTGCAGGATGCTCCGCTTGCGCTCCACCGACAGCGCGAACGTCGAAGACGACGCGGAGGAGGCCGCTGCACCGGGCGCGCGGACACCGGGGGATGCCCCCGTCAAAACCTCTCCCACCAGCACCACCTCCTCCACCTCCTCCTCGTCTTCCTCCTGGAGCATCTCGACCGCGGGCTCCATGAGCCACTCGCCGCCGCTAGCGCCGCCGTCTGCCGGAGTCGCGGCTTGGAGCGCCGAGGTCTGAGCGCGCATCGCGGCCGCGCGGCATGGCGCTGGGCGGGGGAGAGAGGTCACCGGGGCCACGGCCTCGACGCCACCATCCCGTGCGCCCCCCCTCCTCGGTGCGTCCTGCCAGAGCGTCTCGGGGCGCACGTCGAAGGCGCGCGGTGGTCCAGGAGCCGCGGGTTGCGCGTGGCGCCTCGATGAATGAACGCGGCGCGGCGCTGCCTTTAATAAGCAGCGATGCACCCCCCCACTCCCCTCCCCTCGGCAGTTCAGCCACCGCCACACGAGGGCTCCCCGCTCCACCTCCCCCGAATGCGCGCGTCAGTGACTGCACCTGTCGCACGCAATCACGGGGCGAGGTGTGCGTAGTGCGTAGTGTGTGTCAGTGTGTGTGTGTAGGTGTGTCAGTGTGTGTGTGCGTAGTGAGTGTGTCAGTGTGTGTAGGTGTGTGTGTCAGTGTGTGCGTAGTGAGTGTGTGTGTTTCAGTGTGTGTGTGTCTGTGTGTGTGTGTCAGTGTGTATAGGTGTGTGTGTGTGTGGGGAGCGGTAGTGTAGCGGTTAGCGTGCTGCGCTATGAACCTCGTGACCCGGGTTCGATTCCTGCTCACGGCCAACACCAGTGATAGCGATTATCTGAACCGGTCCTGGGCCTCCCCTAGGTCGCCTCAGCCTGAAATGAGTACCTGGTGCAGTGTGTAAACATCACCACTGGTGGAGACAAAGGCGGTCGGGCGTGGTCCTGGCCACCCATCCCCTCGTGTGCCGTCCCGGCCTTCATAGGTGCTTGCTAACAGCACTTGCCCCTACAGTCTGTCAAGGCTATACGGGGGATCTTTGTCTTTGTGCAGGAGGGGGGGGGGGTGTCACGGCGCCTCGTGGCTTTGCGCACCGAGGCGGCTAAGGTGTCTCTGTCGATGGTGCGCGCCTGTGACGGGCGGCTGGCTGGACAAGTGCTGTGTGTGGGCTGCCGCTGGGGACTGCGTTGTGGGGGCAGCAGGGTCCAGCAACGTCGATATCCCCGCACGCCCCACGAGGCTTCGGGACGCCTTCATCCAGCAGTTGAGACGGACCACGGCGGCTGCTGCTGCTGATGAGGATGATGATGACGATGATGAACGGTGTGCTCAATGAGCAAGGTGCAACGCAGCCGTGCAAGAAAATAACAAGAAGCGGTGTGCGCAAGAGAAACAATGACCGTGCAAGCGGCGTTGTGTACACGGCTCTGAGAGAGGCCACCCAATGCTACAAACCCCGTATCACGAGCATGCAGTGCCGGATGAAGCTAGTTGCGGGGCATGTAGCAAATGATGTTATAAAGGGGCCCTAATTTTAAATATTAAAGCACGTACATTTTTTACTTGCATAGTAAAGTAATTTTATTTTCATTTGCTATACGGCCAGATAATACAACTCGCTAACCTTAAACACCCGGTCGTTCGTAAAAGTCGAAGGCGGTATAGTGCTAGAGTAATAGAGCAAGTGCAGAATCACCGAACCGGAATTGATAGCTTCAAAGCATTTAGCGCGGGGGCCTTGAAAGTGCGGGCCCGTAGCTACATATGTAGCTCCTCTTGCTACGAGGATAATCTGGCCCCCCAAAGCATGACCAAACGCCTTGCACCTGTAAGTATATCGACCATCACCTTCGGCCATGACCAATCCACTGCTGGATGAAAGGCTTCCCCATGGCCGTCGCCATCTCTCGCGGTCTATGCGATGCGACGTTCACAGCCCAGCGCGTGGACGCGAACCGATTGTCATCGCTCCATCTCCACGGTGCGCGATTCTCTCGGTCGCGTTCCATCTCCTTGGCTGCTACTCCATTATTCGTCTTCAACAACCCTCGGCCATGAACCCTACCAGAGGCGCGTCCTGCCCACCATGCCCGTTTACCTTTTGTGAACACTTTGAAAGATGTATTTAACCCTGCGTATATGCCGACATATGCCCCGATTATTGCGGCTGCCTACGTACGGTGCGAAATAAGTTAAACATTCACTACACACGCACGCTCCCGAATGATATAATACAGTATTCCTCATTCTGCCTCCAATGTCGCTGCGATCAATACGGCGAAGACAACAATCTTGAACGTATACAGTTGCCAGCATTTGTACCCTTGACACATTCTGCACAAACCAGGAAAATGCGCATTTGACAACAAGTGGATCACTGCCTTGTCACCCCCATCATCATCATTGTCGTCGTCCTCGTGGCGAGCAGCCCCCGCCGCTCTTCTCAGCCGTTCTTCCACGCCTGCTCTTCCATCTCCCCACTACCTCGCGACTCCACGATCCATCTCGCTCCCGCACGCGGATCCCATTGCTCCGTCTCCGCCGTGGGGAGAGGGGGGGGGTCGTCCGCTTCGGGCTGCCCTCTGCGACGCTCGTCTCCGTCCATCGCCTCCAATGGCGAGCGAATTGCCCGACCCCGGCTTCACTTTTGCGTTTCTTCTCGCGGAATCCACGTGCTCCTCAGCCTTGGCGTAAATAACCAAGGCGCATCCTCTTTCCGCGTTGCTTTGCGTATTTTTGTTCAGTTGTCACGGACAGTTTAAGCCAGATCCTACAGCGGGCAAGTGTGTACTCATTGCACACTTAATCCGATGCATTTGTGAAACGCCGTTTGCTGTCTTTCGCCCCGGACCTCCGATTATCACGGTTGGCCGTGTACGGTGCGAAAGAAGTTCAACAAACACGCGCACCTCTTCCCCCTGGACATCTGTGAAATACTGGAGATGTGTGAAAAAGACCTTTATAGCTCATCGGATTCTGGCAATATATAATAAAATATTCTGATTCGGATACATATGAATGTAACTGTGCAAAACTATTAATTCCGAAATGTCCACCTCTTTATTACATTACTCTGAACCCCATTTACCTTCCATAATTCATTAGCCATATACATATTTGACAACATTCACATTTTTACCAGCCTCAATTCATTTTATTACAGTGCTGTATAATTCAAACAAACATCTCACACTTGTATTCCAATTGTGCTCGTGGCTTCATGTCAAGAGCGACTGATACATTTCCCTTCTGAACTTTCGCTGCTTTTGCAACGTCCAAATACCGCATGAAAGACGACATCAGAAACATCCCTCTGTGTGTATATACATTCACGCAGCGACCTTTTCGCTATTCAAAGAGTTATTCGCCGCGTGCCAATCAAACTAGAAAAAGTAACCTCGGTGTGGAGATACGACGTGTCTGTGCGTGTAGTGGGGAGCGGTGGTGTAGCGGTTAGCGCTACGAACCCGGCGACCCGAGTACGATTCCCGCTCACGGCCAACACCCGATGACGATTTTGTTAACCGGTCTTGGGCCTCCCCTAGGTAGACTCAGTCTCAAGTGAGTACTTGCTGCGGTGTGTAAACATCGCCACTGGGGAGACAAAGGCGGTCGGGCGTGGTGCTGGCCATCCACCCCCTTGTGTGCGGTGCCAGCCTTCATAGGTGCTCGCTAACAGCACTTGCCCCAACAGCCTGTTCACGCTATACGGGGGATCTTTGTCTTTGTTCTTGGAGGCCGTGCTGAGAATATCAACTCTCCGCACTTGCGGACCGGCTATGTTGGTGAGCCGGTCTAACCCGGGAGTCGAACCCAGCTGGTCTCTCCAGTGTCGGCTCAGTGCTGTGAACCCAGCATCGGCCTCCGTGACTCACGAGTCAGGGGACAGGAGGAGGTGGTGGAGGAGGTGGAGGTGCTGGTGCGGTGGGTGGCTCGCGAGTGCAGGAACAAGGCGCGCGCGGCAAACATCGTCGAAGCAGCAAGCGCGTTGATGCAACTCCACGAATATTTCGTAGCGAGAGAAGAAGTAGAAGACGACCCCGAGCGAAGTTTGCAAGCTGCCGGTTCGTAGACAGCCCCCACCCCCGCCCCCCGCCTTGCCGATGGTTGACGTCCACCACTCCGCCAGCCCAATCGGCTGTCAACAAGGGGGGATTTTGGCACCAAAATTCCGCGGGGTCGCTGCTTCTCTGCCGAAGCAGCGGCGGCGGTGGCAGCACTCCTCCCAACTCCTCCTCCTCCATCCTCCTCCTCCCTCCCTCCTCGCCCCTCCCTCCTCCTCCTGCCTACCCCTCCTCCTTCCTCCTCCTCCCTCCCTCCTCCTCCTCCCTCCCTCCTTCCTCCCTCCTCCTCTTCTTCTTCTCTTTGAGCAGAGGAGCGACCTCCGCGGGTGATGAGGTGGACTCCGTTTACGATGCGGAATGGCGTCCACCTCCGTGACATTGACCCGGCAGCAGCAGCAGCAGCAGCGGCGGCAACGGCAACGCAATAAAGAAGTTGTGCACGTGGGTTGAGGTGAGCACAGCAATGCTGTTGATGCTAGACGAGATCGTTGTTACACAGCAGTAGTCATGTTTACCTTGTTAGGAATTGGAGCAGAATTGAATGTTGGATGTTCTCCGTTCATCGTATCCCACCTCCGATGAGCACGGTTGGCTCTGTACGGCGTGAAAGACGTTGAACATGCATGCATATTAACCATGTTTTAAATATTAACCATGTTAAAAAGGTTATCAAAGTTGAGATAGTGGAATGCAATGTTAAAGTCACGTAGGTAAAACATTAAAATTAAAATGAATAAAAGTTAAATAAAATAAAAATAAAAATCACGACGTTTCGATTGCAACACAGCAATCATCATCAGGTATAAATGAAATAGCAACCAAAAATTCTAACCAGAAAAAACTATAGACAGACATATAACAGCAGATATCACCAAGATACATAGAGAGAGAGTAACTTGGTGATATCTGTCTGCTTATATGTCATGAGCGTTACCCACCTCCTCCATGTACGCCGACTTCGATCCCTGCACCTCGTTGACCGGGAGTGACCCCGCGGTATAAAGAAGGGGAATCGGTGGCTGGGGATGAGGTGCCATGGTCAGAGGTGTTAGGGAGTGGAATCGGTGGCTGGGGATGAAGTGACATGGATGAATTGGAGGGAAGGGGAGGGGACGGTTGGGATGAGAGGGGATGTCGGAGGGGTAACAAGGAGAGAGTGGTGTATGAGGGAGCTGTGTGCGACGGAGGTGGAACCCTCGCCTGTCTCCGCATGCTGGTGAGCAGAGCACCCACGACAAAACGATAAACCAAACACCAATCATACACGAAGAAAAAAATGTGGCAACACAAACTAGACACGAAAACACAACTGCTCAAACACG